AAATTTAAAATTGTGGAAAATTTTAAAGAAAACTGAATATGAAAGTCAAATGTTTGTCAATTATTGCTCACATTTATCGCCAAACCTTGAAATGTGTGGGTATATGCGTAAATATTTATTAATTTATGAATTTATCAATCTATTAAAGATTTGATTTTAAGATTTGAATATTCCCTAAAGCATACATTTGCAACGTCTTGAAAATTAACTTATTAATTACTGTATGAATTGTAAGTCTAAAGATTAAATAACAAAAAAAATTATAAGTAATTTAAATAAATAAAAATAATTAAAACAGATTAGATTTTGCGAAATATTAAAATTTATTTTGTAATAGGCAGTAAATATTTATGTTTGCTTTAATTACTTATACACATTTAAAATCTACATAAATAAATTATATTACAATTCATAGTTTTGATTCTGAATCATATTAAACCAATTTTATCGACAATTTTCTATTTATTTTAATATCTTACAAAATATACTGAAAATTAATTTTCGTAGCCAGTTCCACGTTCCCACCTAGTCTAATCAATTAATATATAAAATAATAATGGTTAATACTATAATTTACTGTATAATGGTTAACATAAGATAATTAGAAAAATTCTTATGAATTCTGTGCTCTTTTACATAACAATTCTTAACCACTCAATGAACATACAGTAGATTCTGCCACACATTGAACACAATGGAAATGATGGCCACAATTGGTGTCAGTCGTGGGATGCAATCAATTCAATGATTTAAAAGTTTTAAATCATATGCTTTAATGATTCGTAAGTTACCGAGGCATAAAAAATATACGTAATTTTCATCCTTAGTCACTAGTGATGTCTTAATTTGTACTGTATTTATGTTATAAAACCATATTGTAATTATTTATGCTCATTAAATGACTAATAATTAAACATTTTGTGACTTAAATTGTAGGTATTGAGAGTCCATGTAAGGACTGGACATATGTTTACGCCACTAAACCCTATATTCAANTGTTATAAAACCATATTGTAATTATTTATGCTCATTAAATGACTAATAATTAAACATTTTGTGACTTAAATTGTAGGTATTGAGAGTCCATGTAAGGACTGGACATATGTTTACGCCACTAAACCCTGTATTCAAGTGATTGTATCTTAAATGTAAATTGTGGTCAAAAAGTCTGTGAGTGAATGTTGGATACGATCATCAATTGTGAGATAATGGGCGGAAGAACTCTTAAGAGATATATTCTGATGGGATTGTTATGTGTGGTCACAATAGCACTCATATATCAATTCAGTTCTCCTACTTGTTTCTCATCCCATTCCCCACAAAACCAATGGATATCACCCGAGGTTTGCATACATTTCCTATTGATTTGTATTTTAATTTATATTTCCATGTGTTGTCTCGTTTTCAAATGAATACTACAGTATCAGTCATTTAATGTCAAGAATTTTAATATGTGTACATTTTTACATGAAATATGTGTTTATTTTTAATGTTTTAAAAGTTTAAAATGCGATGACATTTATCACCGAAAATCTATATTTAAATAATTAACATAACTATTGCTAAAAACATACATTTAGATAAAGTGTTAGACTTTTTCGTCATACAATCGATTGAAACGAATTCCTCTTTTCTTGATATATAATTCATTTACAAAAATAGTCGCAAAATGTATGCAAAAAGGTATTCACAAACTTAAGAGAAACCACAGCACATAGTTAATGATATTTAGAAATACATTTTGCAATCGCTTTTATGGTTTCTATTTTTTTCAGTGAATTTGCAAAAATCCTTTTATCTGATGATTATAATATAAATTTAATATATAAACCCATATCTCATACGTAAAATGAATACATTCCGTGAATTTCTAAAGTTTTTCATATATTATTCAAATGCTTTTGTGGAGTAATACCGCTTATAATGAACTCAATTGAATAATTAATTCTCGAAATACATTGAATATGTGGAGTAGAAGTGAACACATTTACGAAATAAAACTTTTATTTGATATCTGATACACTCGTCGAGGCATTTAGTCTAATATTTTATAATCATTTATAAAGTAAGCGATTTGTAATGAATAGTAAAGACGAGCAAAGCGGCGAAACACATAAGTTTGTATACAATCGATATATGCCTCTCATATTCATCGGAGGAATGCCTAGAAGTGGTACCACTCTGTTGAGGGTTCTTCTCGACGCTCACCCGGACATCAGATGCGGCGAAGAGACCCGAGTTATACCTCGACTCCTGGACTTCGGTAAGTCGTGGTTCAAAGCGCCGTTAGAAGCGCGCAGACAATCAGAGGGCGGCATTACCGCCGAATTGCTCGACCAGGCCGTCGGTGCCTTCATACTAGAGATAATCGTAAAGCACGGAACGCCTGCCCCCAGACTCTGCAATAAAGATCCGTTCACTTTGCGATCGGCCGTCTATTTGCGGTATTTGTTTCCGAACTCGAAGTTTATTTTTATGATAAGAGACGGCCGGGCGGTCGTCCACTCCATCATCAGTCGTAAAGTGCGTTCACAACTGTCCTTAACATTGATTTCATTGATTGAATCAAACAATTCTTTAATTACTTCTTTAGATCACTATTCCTGGCTATGATTTTAATGATTTCCGGAAATGCTTTAAGAAGTGGAACGCAGCCATCTCTGCGATGGTATGTATTGTAATCTCGTGTCTGATCCATGGCTTAACTCTATGTATGTGTGAACAGCACTACCAATGCCAACAATTGGGAACCGGTGTCTGTCTTCCCGTACATTACGAACAGTTAGTACTTCAGCCCAAAGTGTGGTTAGAGAAGATCCTAAGCTTTCTGTCGGTTCCCTGGAATGAGTCAGTCCTTCATCACGAAGAACTCGTCAACAAGAAGAACGGAATCTCTTTATCCAAGTATTTGTTTGTTTTTATTTAACGTTTTATTTGTTTTAAAACTTATTTTTGATGTTAATTGTGACCCAAGACTGGAGCGATCGACAGATCAGGTGATCAAACCCATCAACATAGAGGCGCTGTCCAAATGGGTC